CCACCCCGCCTAAATTTTATAAGTTTTAACTCACCGTACGAAATAAGTTATAACTTTTCCAAACTAATAAGTTTACAAGTTTCAAATTCGTTTAACGAATTATTCCCTTCATCCTCCCACCCCGCCTAAGTATTTTATAAGTTTTAACTCACCTTACGAAATAAGTTATAACTTTTCCAAACTAATAAGTTTACAAGTTTCAAATTCATTTAACGAATTGTCCGCTTTAACCTCCACCATACGAATTATTTTATAGGCTTCAAATCGCCTTACAAAATGTTTATAACTTTCAAACTAACCCAACGAATAATTTTGCAAGTTTCAAATTCGCTGAACCGAATAAGAATTATTAAGAATTCTTTTGTTAGCTTCAAACTCAGAATTTAAGACTTCGAAATTCGAGATACAAACCGAACAGGTTTTCTTTTATTGAGCAGACAAACCGAAAAATAAACCTGTAATTATCTAGTAATTCCCAATGTATCATAGCCTTCATTCATAATACGCACCCTTAAATTGTACTGAAAATATGGGAAAATGCTTCTATTCACGCATAATACACACTTCTAATTTTGCTTAATATTTAAAAAAATGCGTATTATACATGAAGAATATATATATATATATATATATATATATATATATATATATATATATATATATATATATATATATATATATATATATATATATATATATATATATATATAATTTTAATTTAAAGAAAAAACAGACCACTTTATAGTTACATTAGTTATAATTTTTTTCACCGGTGATTTTATTTTTCTCTTGATTTTCAGCATTCACTTTCAAAGGTGAAAAAATGAATTTAAAATTTACACTTTTGAAGGGCAGTATTAAGCTTATATAAGGTGACATAGAGGGTAGTGACGGACAGTGTGAGAGATGTGGTGGAATTTAGAGAGGGCAGGGAGAGTTTATTTTTATTACAATACCTAATATTGAGGAGGAGAGGGGGGGTAAGGATCAACCTTCCCCCACCTCGTCATCAATATTAGGTTTCTTTTTCCTTTCTTTCTTTCTTTGATTTTTTCACTGAAACCATTTAGCGTCTCTGATATATCACTTCCCTCTTTTCACGTGTTTAAAATGGAAAACTCGATTATTTATTAGGTACTGGCAGGGCGTAACGGCGGTGCGAAGTAACTAAGGGACTAAATAATGAAGGGAGGTAGGAGCAAAATTATATAAGAAGAAGAAGAAAGAAAGAAAGAAAGAAAGAAAGAAGAAAAAAAAACTACTATATTAATTACAATTATGATCAAAATGGGAACGTATAAATTAAGACGATATTCTCTTCATCTATATAATAATAATAATAATAATTATAATAGAAAAAGTTACAGAGAAAATAAATATACAATACATAAACACCTACATAGAGGCATATATAATGAGCCACTCAATGTAGAGGGTTTCTGTTTAAATGGTTATGATGAATGAGATGTGCGATATGGAACCACCTCTTAATTGCTGGTGTGTTCCCAGATGGTAGCACCTGTTAGGGCAAATATTTAACCCCAAACAGGAGTCAAAATATTACGAATGTGTAAAAATAGGTTTTAATACCAGAAATACAGAGTTGTAAAGAAATTATTACCAGCAATGAATTTTGAAGAAAATAATTATTACCAGCAATACATTTTTGAAAAATAAAATATTATCAGCAATACATTTTTGAAAAAAAATATTACCAGCAATACATTTTTGAAAATATTGTCGGCATTAAATAACCCATTGAGGTTGATATGCCGTAAAACAAACCAAACCAAATTCATAGAGTTCATGTACTAGACAGAAAAAGCTCATCAGAACACCCAACATAAAAGAATTTATAGAAAAGACATAGGAAAGCGGCATTATGTCAATGGAATCGCTGCTTAAGCCGAGATGCCAGGTCAGGACCAATAACATTACAGATTCTTCTTTGAATTTCATCAAGAATCCCGAAATTCATAACAAAAGCACCAGACCAGAGGTGACAGCAACACTCAATGCATTACAAATGGCAGACCCACAAAGATGCACGATTGATTATGACGAGAAAATTTATCCAGATCGACATAAAATTGCAACAACAATGAAAAATATGAATGCTGGTCATTATTTTAAGTAATGGGGTACAAATGAATAGATTTGAAATTTCACTGAAACAGACGCTAGACATTTTTTATCTTCTTTCCCCATACAATTTAATATTCTGGGAATAAATTCTGATATTATGTTTATCACTGAAAAACTTCTATATCAGGGGGATATCGCCCACCAGTGGCTCATTTCAGCTGTTGGATGGGCAATGAGCATTTGAACAGAAAATGGTGAGCAATTGGAAATTTTGGTGACCGATGTAGGATTTTGTGTATTAAAAATGCATTTCAGCATACTATTCGAAAAAAAATATACAAAGGAATAGAACTTTTTTTTTTTTAAAAAAAAAGGAAAACAAAAAACAAAACAGGAAGCTAATTGAGAATGACTGGTCACATTCATATATGGGATAATAACATCCCCACAAGCAACGAATGTTTTGGTATTTTCTATAGTTTTGAGAAGGATCTTTAATATTCAAATAATTCTTCAGGCGAAATAGCTTCTTTCTTTTTTTGAATATAAATCAGATTAGGGAAAATCAAGAACGACAAAAATATATTTGCAGAATTTTTAATGGTTTTTAGTAGTGTATATTCTTTTTAATTTTTTAAGTATGAACAAAAATCGTTTAATTTTTGTCAACATTTGCAACGCTAACTCTAACCATGAAACTAACCATGATCATAAAACTCAATTATATATATATATATATATATATATATATATATATATATATATATATATATATAGTTTTCAATTATCAACTTTGCTTTCGTTTGTCCTTTAATAAGCTAATAGCAGCAGTAGCCGCATAAATCAGTGTTATTTGTTACCTCCCTTTCGTATTTGTTACTACATCATAAAGTTAGTTTATGAACCAGTAACAAACATTTACCAAGCAATTTTGCTATAACACGCAAAAAAAAAAAAGAAGCTTTGTAACTCCTGATATAAATGTTAGATTTTTTTCAGAAAATATCTTTTCCTCCTTTTTTTCGATAATTTAAATATTCAAATATCCGGAATTTTCAATAATCCGAATACAGTTTTTCAACCCGTCTAATGAGGGAAGTACAAAGAATTGTAGCCATGACATATTTGGGAACGATATTAGAATAATCCAGAAGATAAACTTGCAGTAAGCCTCCTGAATACAGATAGAAAATGAATTCAGTAAATATACAAAAATAAAAATGGGTAGAAGACAAGGATGGGTCTTCTCACCGGACTTATTCAACCGATACAATGAGATAATACTAAGAGAATTAGAAGTTTTACCGGGATTCCTTATAGGTGACCACTATCTTAACAACATAAGATATGCAGACGACACAGAAGGTAGTGAAAGAAAGCGAGAAGAAAGAACAGTAGTTGCATGGTTTTTTACCAAAAGAATCAGCCCGATATGAGACTTACAAATTGGAAAATACAGGTAAAACAATTAAAATACCAGGCAAATATATATATATATATATATATATATATATATATATATATATATATACAGAGGACGAGAAGTATGACACCAAAATCCGAAGGTGCATTAAGAGAGTGAAAGATACTTTCCAAAAGCTAAGCAAAGTATTAAGAAACAGGAAAATTTCTATAGAAACAAAGTAAAGAGTACTGAACAGTTGTTTAATATCAGTCTATCCTATATGGCAGTGAATGCTGGACAGTCTTCTCATAGCTAAAGAAGGGATTTGAAGCAACAGAAATGTGGTTCTACAGAAGGATGCTGAGAATACCATGGACTAGACATGTAAATTTTAGAGTAAAAGGAAATAAAAAAAAGGTTCATATACTTAGCATCAGAATTAGATACTTGAAAATTCTGGGCGCATAATGAGAAAAGAAGGTTTGGAAAATGTAACACGCACAGTGCATGTAGAAGTCAAGAAGGATAGAGAAAAACTTCGCTTAATCTACCTAAGTTTGACATAGTTTAGGAGAGATTCCAAAAAGAAAACAAATACTAAGAGCTACAAAGGAGAGGAAATTGTGGAGAGCCATGATCGTCCTGGAGGGTTATAGCGCATAACAGAAGAAGACTGTATTAGCGATATTTTTAATAAATGTAGATAAAATTCATACAATATATTATTTATACTGAATCAATTACTAGGTCTTCTGCTAGGAAATTTCGTTCACTGTGTCAGGCTAGAGAATTTTTCTCACCAGAATATATTTTAGACATTTATAAGTTTACCATTCTTCCTTGCTTTGAATATTGCTACTACATCTGGTCTGGTGCAAAATTCTTTGGATTTTATCAAGAATCTCTAAATGTATATTTGGTATACTTTTAGAGATTCTTGATAAAATCCAAAGAAGACTCTCCATTGTTATTAGTCCTGATCTGGCATCTCGGCTTCAGTGACGTTCCCACCGCCGTAAGGTAGCTTTCCTCTGCTTTTTCTATAAATACTTTCATGGTAATTGTTCGGATGGTCTTGATCGTAGCTAAATTTTATGAATTTAAGCGCAGTACTAGATTGGCGCTAAGGTCTCACCGTTTTACATTTGAAATGGCTAGATGTAACCGTAAGTTCTTTGCTAACAGTTCCTTTTGTTGTACTTCTCATTTGTGAAAGTCTCTTCCGGCTTCTTGCTTCCCAGTCAACTTTGATCTTCAAGAATTTAAATGCAATGTCAATCGTTATCGTCTGCCTTCTTAATTGTTGATCTTTTATTGCTTTCTCTCCTTAATAGTGTTTTGTCTTTCATATTCTATCACACTCAATAACCCGCTTGAGTCTTAGTGGCTTTATTGCCTTGCTCGCGGTTAACATTTTACGGCTTTCAACGATTCCTCGATTTCCTTTTAACTTCATTTTGCCAAACTAAAACTGCTTATTGAAACCTTCTTGGCTCCATTGGACAATATGCTACAAAGAGAAGAGAGACGTAGAGAAAAGATAGATAGATAGATAGATAGATAGATAGATAGATAGATAGATAGAGAGAGAGATGAAGAGAGAAGCAGAGATGAACAGATTGACATAGGTAGATATAGTCAGATCAAGATAGATAGATAGATAGATAGATAGATAGGGGAGTGAGAGGCAGAGATGAAAAGATTGACATGGGTTGATACACACAGAACGAGATAGACAGAGAGAGAGAGAGAGAGAGAGAAAGGTAGAGATGAACAGATTGACATAGGTAGATATAGTCAGACCAAAATAGATAGATAGATGAAGAGAGAAGCAGAGATGAACAGATTGACATAGGTAGATATACACAGAGCTAGATAGATGGTCATATATATATATATATATATATAGATAGATAGATAGATAGATAGATAGAGAGAGAGAGAGAGAGAGAGAGAGAGTGTGTGTGTGTGTGTGTGTGTGTGTGTGTAAAAGAGAAGGGAAAAGACGTTGCTAGATTGATGAGAAAAAAGTAAAAAATCAAAAAACAAAATAGGCAAACAATTTCTAGGACAAATACACCTGCGTTCCACTGTTTGTGTTTTAACAAACATGGCCGACACATCTTTGTGGCATTGATCCTTCTATCACGAAGAATAAAAGTTTCTGCAACTTCCATGTATTTTTTTCTTCACCTTTGTACTTTGGCATAAATATATTCCTTTTTTTCATTCGTTCTTCTTGTTTAATTAATTATTGATTTGTTTTTCATCTTTGATTCTCATAATTTTTTTCTTCGTCACTCACGGCGCACTCGCATTTGGTCAAAAATATTCCCAAGACTTAAATCTCTCTGATCTAAATGCATCTGGCATTTGTTTAGACTCAAATTCTGGGTCCTAAACAACAATAATAATAAACAAAAAAACAGTGATTGAATATTTTGACAGAAACTTAAAAGAAAAAGAAAGAAAAAAAATGCGACGATCATTTTGAATAGAAAGAAATAAAAAATATAATTGAAATAATTATTTGTTTTTTCTTCCATTTTGCTCCTCCCAATACGTTGCTTCGTTATCATTCTCTCTCAATTTCTCTCTAATCTAGGATCATCTCTCTCTATTTTAATTTATTGAATTACTCTTTCTTCTACTCCTTGTCCAGTTACTCTCACTTCTCTCAAATTCATTCTTTTCCTTCCGTCTTCTCTCCTTTTTCTTCTTCCTTTCTCTCCGATTACATTTACCTCCCTCCTTTTCTAAGCTTCCTTTCCCCACTCACTTTATGCCTTACACTGATTCCACTCCTATCCCTTTTCCCTATTCACCCCTCTCTCTTCAACTCTTTATTATACTCATCCTACTCCCTTATTCCTCTCTTTATCTCTGCTCCTTCTTTTATTGTTTTCCCTTTTCTTCTTCATATTCACATCATCCCCGGCCCCTCCTTTGTTACATACATTCATTTTCTTTTTTCTTTTTTTTCTCTTTCTTTACTTTCTTCTCCCTGTTACTCTCTTTCCGCTTCCTACAATTCTATTCCTTTTTTCTTTCTTTCTCTCTTTTGCTTGCTTTCCGTTCTTCGCTTTCTTTGATTTAGACATCACCAATACCACCGCTCTCTGTTTCTTCTTCTTTTTCCACACTTCTTTCTTTTTAACTCCCTTTTCTCTCTCTCTCTCTCTCTCTCTCTCTCTCTCTCTCATCCTCCATTTTTCTCACTCCTTCTCTTTCTTTGTTTACGCTTTCTCCCTTTTTTTAGTCACCTCTTTCTCCTCCACCCATTCATTTTCCTTATCAGCCGACTTTGTTTTTCTTTCGTAATCTTTATCACAGGTTCATTTTACCATGTCTCCTTACTCCTCCTACCACCACTTCTTGTTTAATATTTCCCTCCCTCTCCACCTCTCTCCTCCCACCTCGTTTCTTACTTCTCTCCTCCCATTTCTTTTTCTACCTCTCTCCTTCCACATTTGCTATCGCTAACCTCCCACCTCCTTTCCTACCTCTATCCTCATACCTCGTTTCTTACTTTTCTCTTCCCACCTCCTTTTCTTCTTATATCCTCCTACCTCGTTTCCTCTCTCTCTCTCCTCCTACCTCACTTCTTACTTCTCTCCTCCTATCTCCTTTCCTACCTCTATTCTCCTACCTCCTTTCATACCTCTCTCCTCCCACCTCGTTTACTACTTATATCCTCCTACCTCGCTTCTTACTTCTCTCCTCCTACCTCCTTTCGTACCTCTCTCCTTCCACCTCGTTTTCTATCCTCTTCCCCCACCTTTCCCTCAAGTACTACCGGCATGTCTGCATCAGCTTTCATAAAATGGGAGTTTAATTTAAAGCCTAAACACTTTTATCTAACAAGATTTCTTTCGCTTCTTTTGTGTATAGGAAGTGTTGGGAAGGGTGGTTTAGATGACAAGGGCAAGGACGAAGCCTGGGTAGGTGGGTTGGGGATGCATCACGTCTGGGTCAAGGACGACAATGACTTTATGAGCAAAAAAAAAAAAAACTATGCAAGTCAAGCAAGATGTCACAGTAACCTCGAAATTTTTTTCTTTTCTTTCTTTTCTTTCTTTTTTTTTTTTTTGACGGGATATTGTCTGGTGCGAACCCCTTGGGCAGAAAAAAAAATCTCTACCTGGCTGCGTGCGTACGAAAAGCTGCTTTCGTGCGAGGAAAAAGTAGATAAATAAACTGAGCAGGAGAAAGAGAAGGAAAGAAATTGTATAAGGTAGAGAGTAAAAAATAAAAGAGGAAAATAGGAGGTATTTAAGAAAAAGAAAGAAAGAAAGAAGAAAAAGAAGAAGAAGAAGAGGTATTTAAGAAAAAGAAAGAAGAAGAAGAGGTATTGAAGAAAAAGAAAGAAGAGGTATTTAAGAAAAAGACAGGTATTTAAGAAAAAGAAAGAAAAAGAAGAGGTATTTAAGAAAAAGAGGTATTTAAGAAAAAGAAAGAGAGGTATTTCAGAAAAGAAAGAAGAAGAGGTATTTAAGAAAAAAAGAAGAAGATCTGTGAAAGTGAAAGAGAGAAAAGCGGTGAGAAAGAGAGAGAGAGAGAGAGAGGGGAAAAGAGAGAAAACAAAAAGGGGAGATAATTAATAATAATGACAGTGACTAAATCAGAAGAGGAAGAAAAACAAACGAAAGAAAGAAAGAAAGAAGGAAAGTGAGAGAGTGTAAAATAATGAATTGCAGAGTAAGATAGAAAAAAGTGAAAAAAATGAGATGAAGAAAGAAAGAAAGAAAGAAAAGAGAAAGACGAAGACAAGAAATGAGAGGAGGAAGGAGCTGAGGTGAGACGAGAAAGGTATAAGGTTAATAAAAGAGACAGAGAGAGGAGAAGCAAGAAAGGAAGCGAGATAAGATGTAAGAAAAAGAATGAATAAAGAAATGCAAAAAAGTGATATTAGAAAAAAGAATGAATGAGACAAAGAGTAGTGTAAGAGAGAGAGAGAGAGAGAGAGAGAGAAAGATAGAGAGAGTATGTGAAGGTAAGGGGCACTCTGTTGAGAGTGGAAATAAATAGGCATTGCGAAAAAGAGAATGGGAGAAAGAGAATGGATAAGAAAACTTAGATAGATCATGAAGAGACTGATATATATATATATAATGAAAAGACTAAGATAGATAGATAATGAAGAGACAGAGAGATATAGATAATGAAGAGACTGATATATATATATATATATATATATATATATATATATATAATGAAAACACTAGATAATAGATAAATAATAGAGAGACAGATATAGATAATAAAGAGATAAAAATATAAATATATATATATATATATATATATATAGATAGATAGATAGATAATGAAAAGAATGATAGATAGATAGATAGATAGATAGATAGATAGATAGATAATGAAGACACATAGAAAGAAAGAAAAAAAGAAAGAAAGAAAGAAAGAAAGAGAGAAATAGTCAGCATTTATTGACCAAACAGTTCGTGTTACTGCCAGTTGATATTTATAAAATCTTTTTCTTGAAATCAGGAAATTCGAACTCTCAAGTTTACTAAATTCTATTATCAATGGTTATTTCCTTGCAAACATTTTCTTTATGCTAGTGTAGAAAAGCCATTATTTTCACTTCTAGTTACACCTGATACTCTTTCGTGTTCTTGCTATTTGAAATGATCTGGTTTTTTTTATTAGGTTTTGTGATATTGTAACGCTAATATGTACGGTCTGATAAAGTATCATCTTTGAAACATAATAATTTTTGGTTTAAAGACATTTTTAATCCTTAATTCTGAGAAAACGACCAGAAAGTGATCGATCCGTAGCTCTGCCAAATTAGATATCAGTTGCAATAAGAGCTTACTAAAGAAAGTATACACCAATATAAAGCCGTCCTAGGTAAAACGATAAACTACATCCGCGTCCTGGGTAAGACGATAAACAACGTCCGCGTCCTAGGTAAGAAGATAAACTGCACCGCGTCCTGGGTAAGATGATAAACTACGTCCGCGTCCTGGGTATGACGATAAACTACATCCGCGTCCTGGGTAAGACGATAAACTAGTCCTGGGTATGACGATAAACTACATCCGCATCCTGGGTAAGACGATAAACTACGTCCGCGTCCTGGGTATGACGATAAACTACGCCCGCGTCTTGGGTAAGACGATAAACTACATCCGCGTCCTGGGTTAGACGATAAACGACATCTGCGTCCTGGGTAAGACGATAAACTACGTCCGCGTCCTGGGTAAGACGATAAACTACATCCACGTCCTGGGTTAGACGATAAACGACATCCGCGTCCTGGGTAAGACGATAAACTACGTCCGCATCCTGGGTAAGACGATAAACTACATCCGCGTCCTGGGTATGACGATAAACTACATCCGCGTCCTGGGTCAGACGATAAACTACATCCGACCTCAACGCCTCTGATCAGGAGGTTTTGAGGAGTTTGGAACCACTTCTTAATTGCTGGGGTTCCTAGGTCCGCCTTGACCCGGAGTGGTAGCACCTGTTAGGGTCCCAGCTATGGGTAAATAGTCCATCCCCAAACTGGGGTCAAAACACTATGAACGTGTAAAAATAGGTTCCATACCAGTAATAAATTTTTGGGGGAAAAATTAGTACCATAATAATACATTATTACCAGCAATACATTTTTGAAGAAAAAAATATACCAGCAATACATTTTTTGAGGAAGAAATATTACCAGCAATAAATATCTTGTCGGCATTAATAACCCATTGAAGTGTTGATATGCCGTAAAACAAAATGAACCAAACCAGGCTCTCGGCAAAAACCCTCTTTACAAAAATATGTTAATAAAGCCTGATCTACAAACTGATTTCTTATCAAAACAATACATATTCTATTAATACGAACCTATCTTTAAAATCTTGTCGGCATTAAGTAACCCATTGAAGTGTTGACATGCCGTAAAACAAACGAAACAAAACTGACCAATATAAAGAGGATTGATTTTTTTTAACAACATTAATGATGTTTTTAATCAAGTCTTTTTTCTTTAAATTTCTACAAGAACAAACTGCCGTAAAGCAAAGCCGAAACTGAAGTTGCTTCCCTGAGTCGTGCAAGACAATTTTTCTAAAATCTATCTTAGATATAAGTTTATCATTCGTCTTTGTTGCGACATATGGTCTGGTACTTTTGCTATATATTTAGAGATTCTTGATAAAGTACAAAGAAGAATCTGCAATGTTATTAGTCCTGATCTGACCTCTCTGTTTCAGTCACTTTCCCACTGCTGTAATGTAGCTTCCCTGTGCCTTTTCTATAAATACTTTCATGGTATTTGTTCTGAGGAACTTTCCTCCTTGGTACTTAGGCTTTATGAATTTAAGCGCAGTACTAGAATGGTGGTTAGGTCTCATCATTTTACAGTTGAAATGGCTAGATGTAACCGTAAGTTCTATGCTAGCATTTTTTTCTATAATACTTCTCGCTTGCTGAACTCTCTCCCGGCTTCTTACTTCCCTGTTAACTTTGATCTTCAAAACTTTAGGTGTAATGTCAATTGTTATCTTCTTAATTATTGTTCTTTTAACTCTTCTTTCTTTAATAGGTTTTTTTTCTTCTCATATTAGCTAACAATCAGTAACTCCCTTGCGTCTTAGTGGCTTTATTGCCTGAGGTGAAATGATTTGAGTCCAGTTCTAAGCGTGACATGCACTACTACGCGGCCCAAAATAAAGAACTTGAGTCTAGTTGTCAGGTTTGTTTTATAGCATTTTACGGTGATGGGCCCAAGTATCTCCAGTGAAAACTATCCCCTTGTTCAATTTCCTTTGCTGAAGAAGAAAGACAGAAAAAAGAAAAATGCAATTTGGGGGAATAAAAAAACAGAGAAAAAGAAAGAGAGAGAAGAGAGAGAGAAAGAGAGAGAGAGAGAGAGAAAGATAGAAAGACAGAGAGAAAGAGATAGAGAGAGAAGACAAAGAGAGAGAAAAGAGAACGAGAGAGAGAAGAGAGAGAAACAGAGATAAAAGAGAGAGAAAGAAAGAGAGAAAGAAAGAGAGAGAGAAGACAAAGAGAGAGAAAAGAGAAAGAGAGAGAGAACAGAGAGAAAGAGAGAGGGAAAGATAGAAGATAGAGAGAAAGAGAGAGAGAACAGAGAGAAACAGAGAGAAGAGAGAGAGAAAAAGAGAGAAAAAACAAAGAGAGAGAAAGAAAAGAGAAAGAAAGAGAGAGAGAAAGATAGAAAGACAGTGAGAAAGAGAGAGAAGACAAAGTGAGAGAAACAGAGAGAGAGAGAAAAAATTGAGAAACGGAGAGAAGAGAGAGAGAAAGATAGAAAGACTGAGAGAAAGAGAGAGTGAAGACAAAGAGAGAGAAAAGAGAAAGAGAGAGAGAAGAGAGAGAAACAGACAGAAGAGAGAGAGAAAGAGAGAGTGAAAGAGAGCAAGAAAGAGAGAGGAGAAAGAGAGAGAGAAAGAGAAGAAAAAGAGAGAAAGAGAGAAGAGAAAGTGAGAAAGAGAGAGAGAGAGAGAAGACAGACAGACAGACAGACAGACAGATTATTAGTGAAAGCGCAGAGACACTTCTCAAAGATGTCCTGGTATTATTGATGTCATGAAATCTTTGAAGTTTTCGAAAGAGGATTTCCTGCTGGAATTGCTACAGACGCTGTGGAATCCATTTTACCATATTGTAAAATTCTGCCAAAAGATTAATTGAATGGCACAAGAAAAGAAAAAACAATATCCCTCGTACGATTAAAAGAACATATTGTAAGTTTCCTGAATGTTTTTGAAGCTTTTCGTGAAATTAAATTCCACCTTATTGTGGTAAGGAGTGTCTCAAAGGCGATATTCAGCTGAGAAGAATAAGAAAAATGAAAGAATTTTCAAAGAAAACGATTTGCATTCACATTACATTAGTCTTTACCCTTTTATTCAACTTTGACAGCAAGACAGGCGTCTCCCAGGGGGGTCATCTCTCGGGCCAATCCTCTTCCTGATTCATATGAATGATCTGCCTAAGAATATACCCAGTTCATTTGTAAAGATCTATGCCGATGATAGGACGATATACGGGCGCACCTCTACACCTCTTGATGATCAGCGATTGGCGACTGATCTCTCTGCCGATCGAGCACTAACTGGATGCTCACATTCAATGCGTCGAAAACCAATCTAGTTACATTACATCAACCGCCGATCGGACCCCGAACTATCGCAAGTCACGATCAACGGATTTTCCCTCGGGGAGGCTCCGTGCCTTGAGAAACTATTGAGCCTTAAACTCACACCAGACCTCAAGTGGAACTCGTACACAGATGAAGATCGCTAAAGATGTAGGTAAAATAGTCAGCTCCCTGTACCGCTCCAGTAAGTAGCTGACTCATGGTATCTTTATAAGAGCCAGATCAAGCTGAAAATAGAGTACTTTTGTCATATTTGGGTGGGAGCTGCCCAGTTCTCACTTTTCCGTCTCGGTAGAGCCCAAAGGCATGCCCACGTCCTTGTGGGTGACAAATTATTTTCCACCCTGCAACCACTTTCCTCACAGGCGGAATGTGGCAAGCCTCTCACTCATCTATCACTACTTCCATAGAAAGTGCTCGGACGAATTACATTCTTGGTTCCGCCAGGTGTAACCTTCACGGCTATTGTAGCAAACCACCCACGTATTACATTGGGGAGAAGTTCCACTCGAACAGCTTCTTCTTGCAAACTTAATTCTTCTTACAAACTCCCAAGAGGATATTTCCCCCATCACTACAATCTTAACCTGTTCAAGTCTATTATCAACCGTTTTTTTCTCCTCCTATCCGTATAAACTACCCCTTAATGTAACCCTCTACCTCGAGTGGCTACTGGGCCTTCTAAGGAGTGAACCTTACTTTAAAAAAAGGCACTTCTGAGAGATCTAGAATTTATTTGAATTTATTAGCATCCACAATTTTAACAACGTTAAATATACAGATGACACAGTGTTGGTAGCAGATACAGAAAGGAAAATGCAGGAACTCCTACAGAAGGTAGTGAAGGAAAGCAAGAAGAAAGGACTAACCACCAATTGTAGGAAAACAAAATCTATGGCTGTCAGCAAGACGAACAGACCAAGAATTGGAGATACCAAAATCAAGCAAGAAATTTGAAATCTCTGGGAAGTTCCGTAACAGAGGAAAGAAAATGTGGCAGCGAAATCCGTAGTCGCATTCGAATAGCGGAAGACGTCTTCCAAAAGCTAAGCAAAGTATTAAGAAACAAGAAAATTTCGTTAGAAAGAAAGAGTGTTGAACTGTTATGTAATATCGGTCCTCATATATGACAGTGAATGAAGAAGAGACATGTAGTAACAGAAATGTGGTTCTACAGAAGGATGCTGAGAATGCCTTGAAATATTTGAGCAACGAGAAAGTTTTAAGGAAAATGGAAACAAAAAGGACGCGTTTTTAAAATCGTTTCACACCAAGCAATGCGAAAATGCCACTAAGACGGAAGTTAAGAGGTGTACAGGGAGTGAAAGAGCATAACAAGGGAAGGGAGGTGGGGAAAAGTGTAATAAAGAAACAGGATTTAGGACGACAGAAGATGACTATTTTTATTTAAATTTTTGAAAATTGTAGTTGTCAGGGAAGCAAGAAATCGGAAGGGAGTTCCTTAGACAAGAAATACGAGAAAAGAAACTGTTAGAATAAAACATTATGTTGCATCTAGCTAATTTAACAGTAAAACAATGAGACCTAATGGCCAATCTAGTAACACGCTTAAGTTCGTGCAGTCGAGACACCAAAGAGAACAGCTCATCAGAACATTTGCCATGAAAATATTTGTAGAAAAGACAAAGGGAAGCCACGTCACGTCGGTGTGAAAGTGACGGAAGACAAAATGCTAGATCAGGATTGGTTACATTACTGAAGCTCCTTTGAATTTTATCAAAAATGTCAAGATAATCTATAGTACCAAACTTTCTTTGGTTATGCCCCACCGAAGGATCACTAAAATCCTCCCACGGGAAATAGAATTCTTGTTAGTCAAAAAGTGACCTTCTATTCACGTGGAGGAAAACTAAAAGCCCATTGACTAAAGTCTCCGTGAGAATCATGAGACTATATATATATATATATATATATATATATATAGGTAACTATACTCGTTTCGAAAAACCTTCGAATTTTTGATTTGTCAATAATCAAATCAATCTCGAAGGAAAAAAAGGTTTTCAAAAAAGAAAGAGCTAGAAACATGAAAGTCTGTCGAAAAAAATCGCACAGATACAGGTTTGAAGCCCAAAGAAAAAACCCGACACGAGTAAACAACTAATTAAAAAGAGCTCAATACAACCGTAGAGCAGACCTAGATAAATCTAGGGAGCCAGACAAACCTGCCCAGGTTTCACCTAAGTGGATCGTCAGGAAACTGGCTTTCTCTGACGATCCGCTTAGGTGAAACCTGGGTAGGTTTGTCTGGCTCACTAGGTTTATCTATATATATCTATATACCCAAGTATAGGATTGGTGTATACGGAATAGATTTCAATAACCAAAAAATACTATTCTTAAAAGTGTACTCAATACAAAGTAGAGCAAATGTAATTATTTATTCTAAAATTATAACATAAATATGTTATACAATCACTACAAAAATAGCCATTTTGTTTCAACACTTCTGGCGTCTTATCAAGTGAAAGCGTTTATTTTACATTCTTTAAAACCCTTTATTTTACATTCAACATCATCACTTGATAAGACACCAGAAGTGTTGAAACAAAATGGCTATATTTGTAGTGATTTTATAACATTTTTGTTATAATTTTAGAATAAATAATTATATATATATATATATATATATATACTAGAATAAATCCTAAGGAGCCAGGCAAACTTACCTAACTTTCACCTAAACGGACCTTCAGGGTAATCAGACTAAAAAAGGAAATGACTGAACAGTATTTATTTATAAAACCATTAAAAACTATTAAAAACCACAAAAAACTATTAAAAACCATTAAAAACAATGTAATAATAAAAAATAATGGTTTTATCAATAAATACTGTTCAGTCATTTCCTTTATTAGCCAGATTGCCCTGAAGATCCGTTTAGGTGAAACCTAGGTAGGTTTGCTTGGCTCCTTAGGATTTATTCTAGTTTATTGCTCTACTTAGCGTATTGAGCACTCTACGATTAATCTTTCCACTCGTTTTTTTTTTGTTTTTTTTCTTTGGACTAAAGACTTAAAGCACTTGGCGATTTGTTTCGTCTTGTTCTGATGTTTTTAGTTCTTTCTTTTTTTTATTTCTAATTTTTTTCCTCGGGTACCGATTTGTCCTGAAATATTTACAAGTTGACCTATCCGAGGTTTTTTGGTTTTACTGTTTTTAAACAACAATTTTCGACCTTGCTAACCGAAACTCTCCTCTGTGGCGAAATCGGTACAAGCACGTCAGGCTATATGACGGTTCCGTATAGGATACAGGTTCGATTTCTGTCTGAGGACGCATATTTTCTATGAAAATTTCTCGGATATTCAGGCCAGTAAATGTTGTTAATACTGTTTATTATAAACAGAGAATTTACTTAAATATTTGTATCTATAAAAAGAATGTATAAACATAAAAATGTCTTAAAATAATTGCCGGACTTTGTTCATTTCATATATTTATATATATATATATATGTACTGACGATTTCATCTAGCATGAAATATATATATATATATATATATATATATATATATGTGTGTGTGTGTGTGTGTGTACTGACGATTGTATCTAGCATGAAACAGACAGTCGCCTCTAATGTTGACTTCAATGTCCACTTTTATATTTACACACGCTCTATCTCTGATATTGAGCACTTTTATCCCATAAATATAGCACACCTTACAACTATATTTCTTCACACACACACACACACACACACACACACATATATATATATATATATATATATATATATATATATATATACATATAACACAAAAATTGTCGAAATAGTGTATCAGCACAATTGTCAATTCCACAAAGGTGTATGTTTAATATCGAAAAAAGCACTAAACTAATTGAGTTTCTTTTTTCCAGATCGTCTTAAGAATCACTGAAAGTCCATTGAGTTATTCAGCTAGAAATTGACGGGTTAAAATCGTTTTGTGGCAACCCCACTAATGTCATTACAAATGAGCAATTGTGAGAGGGAAAAGATTATTCAGACCTTCATCTTCAAAATCCATTCAAGAGGACGGTGAATAAATTTAAAAAGAGGGGGAACAGTAGAGAGAAAAACTGGATCAGGTGATCACGACAGGAAGAGGGGGCGGTCATCATTTCATTTTAGAGCTAAAGAGATCAATTAGAAAAGATCCAACTCAATCCATAAGACGTTTGGTACATGAGAGGAATTTCATCTATGGCAGTCTAAATTGCAGTTAAAAAAGAATTGAAAGTGAAATCGTACGGGAAAACTGTGAGACATCTTGTACTCCAGGACAGAAAGTTAGACGGTTAGAGAGGACAAAGATCATCTTGAATAAGCCGGAAAATGATCCCAGAATAATATATATATATATATATATATATATATATATGTATGTATGTATGTATGTATGTATGAACTTAATTTCAATACTTCATGATCTTCAGATCTTTAGCTATGATTTTTCATCATGATTCTTCCGTTAAACTTGGAGAATAATTATACATTCTTGTTACTCGATAGAGTCCAATAGTGTTATAAAAACTTCGGAGAATTTCAGCGACATATTGTTTTATCATTTCTGAGATACAACGGTTCAAAGATTTATCTAATAAATGGAAAATTTTGTTTTTACACGATTGAGGCAATTTTGCTGTTACACACGGAATATATATATATATATATATATATATATATATATATATATATATATATATAGCTAGAATATGTAGATCATTAAATAACCCATGTCCTTTGTGCATACATAAGAAACTATCTATTACTAGGTTTTGAAAAATAAAAATTTTCTTAATCAAAGAAATGAAATAGCTATTTTTGCCGACATTGTCAAAAAAATTTTCTTTAAGGATTATTTAATTAAAAAAACAAAAAAAAAACTGATAAATGAAATATACATATTCATACTTGATATTTAAATGATTTTTTTAAAATAATTCAAGTAATTCTATTACATTTGTTTGTTTCCTAAGATGTATAGTCTATTATCAATTAAAATTAAGAATAATATTTTGAAACTGTAGTTCAATACGACGTATTCATATACAAACAAACCTTTTAGAAAAAATATTCATGTACACAAGTACAAATTTAATGGCGAAACAAAAGTGCCGAAAATCTTTTTGCCGTTGAAAAAGACCAGGCGACATGCGTTGAACGGATGCCATCATTTGTTTGAAAAGACACCCCTACCCTACCTTGTCTTAACCTCTTTTCGAAAGTAACTAATATTTTGATACAATAGTTGTCAGTGAAAAAGAATACCCTACTGCTCCTTGTTAAAATCATCGGATTTCCCAGTATCCATAGAAACTATTATTATAAATGCATGTGCTTATAAAAATCAGTAAATTCCAAAATAAGTTATTCCAAAATTCGCTTGAAAATGAAACAGAACAAGGGACCTTAATTTAATTCTATAACTAGATTTGAAGGTTTTACCTTCTGTTTTTGAAACATGGTAATTCTTGTGTAGAGATGTAACCATATTTTTGAATAAGTAAATTTATAATATTTATGCTCTGTAGATTTGCATTGAGCACTGTCTTTTAAAAATAAAAATATTAATAACAACAGCGGATCATATATCTTACTGTTCTTTCAATTTATATATATATATATATATACATATATATTATGACAAATTGAAAGAAAGCTTTTGCGACGCGTTTCACCCATTAGGATTTCATGGGACTGTGCTTTACTGATGTTGCCACGTCTACACATGCGCATGAAACGAGAGATGCTGGTTGTTTAAAACATTTAGTAAGAATATTTTTCAAAGAATATGCTTGGAAAGTGCCTTGATCGCTAGTACAGCCCCAGTAAATTTGTGTCCTGGCTCTGACAATATATCACCATTCCTAGTAGATTTTCTGTTATCCCAATGTTGGGTAGTCAGGGACGAAAATGATGGAGAGAAAAAGATAAGAAAAAGAATTCAGATGAATTTGGCTAGATTGAAATATATTCCTTCAAAAATATTCTTTCAAAAAGCCCAGTCCGACGAAATCTTAGCGGATGAATACATACATACATACACACACACACACACACACACATACACACACACACACACATATATATATATATATATATATATATATATATAGATAGATAGATAGATAGATAGATATTAAATTCAATTGGCAAATCGTTTCTGGTTATTTTTTCATTGTACTGTATTTCTCCTGTTTTGGAATAAGATGTTTCATATCGGGATATAAATTTTGTATAAACTCTCCGAAGTCTGTGTGTAGGTGCATATGTATGTATATACCCATGTATGTATGCATGAGTGGATATATATATATATATATATATATATATATATATATATATATATGTGTGTGTGTGTGTGTGTGTGTGTGTGTGTGTGCGCGCGTATGTATGTGTTTGTGTGTGTGTGTGTGTTTTCAAATATTTTATTGTTATATGTTAATTATATAGACAATAAAATATCTTAAAATAATTGTCGGTCTTTGTCCATTTCGTAGTGTGTGACGTCATACATATGTGTGCGTCTGTCTGTATGTCTCTGTGTCTGTGTCTGTGTGTGTGTTTTGTGTG